AAAGATAAACTCAGTTACCTGAAGATTTTTCAATCTCTTATCCTGTCTAAAAGATGAAGATAATGATGATGATGATGAAAGATGATAAAAATGAAAGGAAGATTAAATTTTTGTTCTCTTCTTAAAGGAAACATTTTCTATTTCAATGGCAACCATTAGGTCAATTTTGCAAATGGACACAAGTAGTAGCCTTAAGGGTGTTCAGGTAAGTGTAATGTCATCTTAATCATCGTCATCATCAACATCTTAAGATGATTTTTCAAGGTAAAGGTAAATAATAGTCTCAAGAAGATAATGATGATGAAGAAGAGAAAAAATTTACTCATGATTTTTTTTCTCCATCTCAACAATCATCATTGTCCAGTCTCATTTGTTGGTCAAGCCACAAAAGGAGGATGAAGATGATAATGATTACACATTACAAAAAGTGATAGTTTTTTTTTCAAATGATTATCATGATGATGATGATGATGATAATGATGGAGGAGGTGGAAGAGGAGGAGAGAGAGAGAGAGAAGAAAAAATTTGTTTTTTTTCTTTCTTCTCATTCTTGAAAGATGAAGATGATAATTATGATGATAACTATGTAATAGGTACTATGAACAATATTATTTCATCATTATCATCACCATCATTATATCATTATCATCATTGCTCATCATAATCATCATCCCCTTAATCTTCATCCTTAATATTTAACTAACCTGTAAATCTCATTCTAATGGGATCTTCAAATTATTAACTCACTGAATTCATCCTCCATCTTCATCATCAATTGGATTCCCCGTGAAGAAATCATGTTCATCTTCATCATCAACATCATCATCATCTCTCTTTCTCTGTCTTTTTGCTCTTTCTTTTTTCTTACAGTTGGAAGAAAAATTTTCGCAGTAACTTTAAAGATACAAACAAAATTGGTATGTAAATGATTGGGAAAGCAAAAGGATCCCCAAGGTGAGTCTGAAAGGTTAACACACCTTAAGAGCCTTTGGTCAACATGGTAAAAAGCCCTCGAGAAAAAAAAAGAGATACTTTATACATAAAAAAAGGAAGATGATGAGGATGAGAAAGAGAAAGAGAAGATGAAATGAATAGACAGAAGAAGGAGATGGACAGACAGAGAATGGGATGATGAAGATGAAGGAAAATCTTCTCGTTCTTTGGTATCTTCTCTGTATTGAGAGTGAAAATAATGATGATGACGAGGAAGATGAATGAAGATGTTGATTAAGACCTTAACCTATGTGATTATCTCTCTCTCTCTCTCTCTCTCTCTCTCTCTCTCTCTCTCTCTCTCTCTCTCTCTCTATGTGTTTATTAATGTCTGGTCACTTTGGGTTAACTATGTTGTTCTTGTGTTAAACTTGGACACTCACGTTAATTGTTAACGCAATAATCAACTTGATTATCCTCCCATCACAACAACAACAACAGTTTTGTCTTAATTGTTAGGTTGTTATCTCCATACCTGATTACCTTATGTCTTATTTATTGTTGTTGTTGATGTTGAAATTTATGTAATTAACTTTTTGGAAAAGTTTAAAATTAGCAAATCAATAGTTTCGTTGATTAGTTTGGTTAATTGTTGATGGTGGGTTTTTGCTGAATAAGGCGTGAAAATGATTACATTGACACCCCAGTGTGATTCATATTAATTTCATCATCACCATGAGTCCACCACCACTACAACCACATGAAGTGACCACTCAATTGTCAACCGAAAAGTTAATTGGAAAATCAAATTAACTTAATTTGTTTAGTTTGATTGTTTTATCACAATCATTTCTCATCTTCTTCTCGATATGGTTTCGCCTTTTTAAACAATTTAAATTGTTCTCAAACAATTAACTGACAAATTATCTTTATCATGATTAACATGTTAATTGTAAATCATTTTTCAAATTTTCGGAGTAAATGTCTTAATTATAATTGATTGATTAATTATTTTATATATAAGTTAATCATCATTTTCGTGATCTATTATTATCCTAATCAGTTGATCAGATTTAAATTGTGGTTTAGATTAGTTTTGATTAGTTTAATTGCTCATGATTAGCTTTGTTATTATTCATCGTGATGTGATTGTTTCTTAATTGTTATCATCGTTTATTGTTTTACAATTTAAACAAAAAAACGTCTAAACAATTAGCTCAATGATTGTTACAATTAAATATCATATGAATGGTTTCATGATTGAACAATTAAATGTTGATTATGATTAACAAAGTATCAAATTGCTTATGATTTAAACAAAACAAATTTAATCTTAAATTGATTCAATGTAATCAAATGATGATTATTTCAATGAGATTAGACAAAAAAAAATAAACGACAATTGTAACAATTAACTAATGACATTAGGATATTAGGTTATAAATATGATTAAAAGCTAATGATTAACATAAATTAATGATTAGCTGTGTAATAATAATAATGATACACTTTTGGTGTACACAATTAAAATTAACTTTAATCATTTGAAATGTGATAAGAGAGCAGAGTAACAATTAACGGAAATTAAACATTAATTAGTTGATTAGCCAGAAAAAAAGTGGACAATTTATGACCTAATTGTTGGTAATACATTAGATCAACTAATTTGGGAATCAACTAATGATCATCATGTTAATTACATTGGGAATTGTTACATTAATTTCATTGATTATGATGACAACTAATTTGATTGTTGAAGGTATTCATATGATGACGATGTTGATCATCATCATCATTATCTTCATCCTCATCATCATCAATGCTGATCATTAGTTAGCCAATGAATAACTATTATTTAGTTATTGGATTAATCTTTACCAATAGATAACCGGAAGTGACCATTGAAAGACCAGACTGGACATCATCATCACGGAAATGATGATGATTATATGATTTTGATTAAGTTTGTTGGGTTTAATGATTAATTTTAATGATCATCATTAGATTTAATTCAGTTCTGTATTAGATTGTCACTGAGAAAACGACTAATCTATTATTATTTGAACATCATTTTCTTGATAAAAAGACATTAAGATGATTATCTTCATCTTATCTTCCTCATCCTCATCCCATTTTCACCTAAAAATCAACATCATCTTGTTAATAATTTATTATCTCATTAATTAGTTTGCCTCGTAATCACTGATTACTTATTTGTCTTCAATAGCATCTTCATCTTCATCCTCATCATCATTATCATCCTTTGGGTTTCCAATTACCCAATAAATATAAATAACAATCAATTTTAATTCACTTGATTATGTTGATGATTTAAGGTAATGATTATACATTTCAACTAAATTCATGATAATTTACAAACTTTGAATGTTAATCAACTTTAATTCAAATATTGATTTATCCAAGGTGAACTTTTCTTTTGATTAATTGTTAACAATTAAACGTGAACAATTAATGTATTTCTTTATACCAAGAAATTAAAATTAATTACAAACAATCAGTGACAATTTTTTTTACCATCTCTCCACAAACTTAATTGTAAATTTCCAATGATTAACTAACACTCACAGTTGGTGGTTAATCAAGAAAAAAACGTAAATTGTTCATTAATTGTCAAACATTTTCATGATAATAATAATTCACAATTAACTTAAACCTTACATAGTTAAACAACCTCCTAATCATAAACAATTAACTTACCAATCAAAATGAAACCTGAAGCAAGAATAATAATTTAAATGAAAAGTGATTAGTTAACAACAACAATCAACAAAGTTAAAATAGTTAATTAACTTTACAAACCTACAAACTTAATTATAATCAACATTAGCATCATTTATTAATCAATATATTTGTATAACTAAACCATTTAAATGATAGTGAAACAATTAACTTAACATTGATTAATATTAACACAATTAAAATCCAATGGATATCACCAATTGTAATACTAATTAAAAGTCAACATCATTCATTAAATGATTAACTTGTCTTTAAGCCTCCACAAAATTTTACCAGATTAATGATGATTAAAGATGAAGATGATGATTAAGATGATGATGATTATCATGTTGATTAAAATACAATATAAATTATCATTGGATTAAAATCTTAAGCCCACTGACAATCAACATCGCACCCAAAGTAATGTCATCGACTCTCATCCTTAGGTGTAGCTTATCATCATCTTGATCCATTAATGATCAAGTTAATTTAGTTACAATCAAATAGGTAACAATTAACTTATATTTCTCTCTCATGTTATTATTACAATTTAAACAGGAAGCAAATGATTAGCAATTCATTTAGGAAGATGAATTAATTGTGATAACAATTGACAAGGGAAAAGTTTTCATTTCCGTAAATCAAAGTGATGATATTTGATTGATCCATTACAGATGAATGATATTAATAGTAAATTAATTACTTTCAATCTTAATTAGTGAAAAATTAACCTTTTCATTTCAACAATTAACTTTACCTACTTTCTAACTTGGTTGTTGTATAATTTTCAATTAAAATTACAGCAAATTTAATTTGATTATTATTATGTTATTATCATGAGACAGTATTGTTACCTTGTTAAATTGTTTTCAATCAAACAAAAAACATTAATGGAAACAAAAAAACAATAGGAGTGGCAACATCATCTTCATCATCTTCCTCATCATCATCATGGTTATCATGTTGATTATAATGATAATGATAATAATGGGAATGATGATGGTAAGAGTTACCTTTGTAAAACGAAAGCGCAAAAGAAGAGACCGAAGATGATGAGGATGATAATGATGATGAAAAGCAACTTCACCTTAACTCTCAATCAGGGTGAACCAATACAGAGAGGGAGAGTGATAGAGTAACTTACAGGGTGCCTGCTATCTTGGGTTAGGAAATGAAATTATGATGAGCAGAGAGAGAGAGAGAGAGAGAGAGAGAGAGAGAGAGAGAGAGAGAGAGAGACTTTTTTGTTTCTCATCATCTTCATGTTCATTATAACAAGTCACGAAGTTGTTTCAGTGTTTAGGGTTTGAGGTTCTTGGAACTGAAAACTTTGGGTGAGGTGCGAGTCAAATTTACCCGGCGGGTATGAAAACATATGAAAATAATGATCACAGAGATGATGATGAGAAGTGATGATGAACGGGAGTTGGATGAAAATTATGATGATAAGAAAATTTCCTCTTCGTTTTATCCTCCATGTGATTATAAGCACTTAAGCACGTTGATTTTTCATCTTCTCTTGATGAAGTTGTCATTCCCTTCGTGAGTCTCATCATCATCTTCATCATCTTCTCCCTTGTTTTCATCCTTTCGCTCATCATTTACCTGAGAAACTATTAACTAACCTGATTTACTTAATTAAAGGTATAAAACATAATAAAATGTCATCACCAAAGGGAGATGATGATAAACCAAAGATGATGTTGATAAACACCAATAAGATGATGTGATTTTGGTGATTTTTTGCTTCCAATTGATTAAATTGCTGGGAAAGCTAAATTAATGTTCATTGATTGAACATTAGTTAATTATGATTAACAATTTTCTAAATTTTTTCTCCCTTGCACCTTAATTGTAATTTAATTCAATCTCTTTAATTATCATAATTAACTATCAACTTCTTGATAATGACGATGATTAAGTTAATTTAAATGTTGATACTTTTGTTTTTTGTTTACAACCAGATTAAGTAATTACCATGAATCATAATTGTAATTAACTTAATCATTGGTTAACATTATAATCAAATAATCAATTTATTTTTATCGTCTTAATTGTTATCAAGATGATGATGTCTTAATCATTAACAATTTAGAGACACCAAGGTGAAAATTAACTTTTAATTGAATTAAAAACAAAAAATTAGTAACAAAATTAGTAATTAAAAAGCTAAATGTTAACAATCAATTTAATTGGTAACAACAATTAGTATCCTCGATTTGATAATATCCTTGATTGTGATATTTTTTTTGCTTTTCACTTTGATTTTCAATTTAACTGTAAATCTTTTCATCACCAATTTGATTTGATTTGAATTCAATTTACCAACAAAGTGATTTAGTTAATTGTTGGAAATTGTTTCTGTTTAAGATCAAAATATGAACGTAACCGTTAACCCAATCAACTCAACAGCAATTAACGAAACCAGAATCGAAGATAGAACATTTTTCCAAGGATTCAGTCAGACTCTTCTACTGGTCAGTCTGTCCGAAATTGGCGATAAAACCTTCATACTGACCGCTCTTATGGCCATGAGACATTCAAAAATTTACGTTCTAATCGGATCTTTATTGGCTGAATATCTCATGATAACATTATCAAGTAAGTCTTTCCAATTCAGTTGATCACCATGAATCAATAATAAGCAGACAACATGATGTTCAGATGATTGTTCATGGTGGAAAATTCAGAGAAATTCATGTAACCATAAAAGAGAGAAAAAAGTTTCTCTTACCTTTCGAAGTTGATTTTTTTCTGTTCTCCTTCCAGTTGATAGTTCTAATGTTTTTAACTCTCTCAGTTTCTCAATTCGAGGTGTGCCCTGAACTTTCCCTGAAAGTATCTCCGGAGAAAAGAAAATCTGTAAATGAAATCATTGAAATTGAATTAATCTGAATATGAATCATGGTGATAATTTGAGGTGGAATATTAAATTTGCCTTAGAAAATGAATGAGAATTCAAAAATATTGAGTAACATTTGATTCCAATTCAAATCATCATGTTAATTTCACATTATACCATGTTAATAGTATTATTATTATCATCATCATCATCATCATGATAAATACACACACAAGCTGTTCAATTTTAACATGGGAATCAGATTCAGGTAAAACTTGAAATTCAGGGGTTGAGATTCATTTGATTCATTGAAACATGAACATAAAAGCAGAAAAAAAGTTCATGTTGATATTATATTGAAATTTTATTCAAATGAACTCAACTTTTTTCCTACTTATCCCTTTTCTGTCATCATGAAATCCACCTCATGATGATTATCGTCAATGATTATCATCATCAGAATGCAGGTTTCATAAAGTTCATGATACCGGAATGAAGATGAAAATAAATATATATCAACATATTAGCTTGAGGATATTAAGGATGAGGAAAAAAAGAGAAAATTTTTTTTTTCTTCTTTTCTATTCAAATGATATTTTCCACCATGAATTATCATCATCATCATTTGATTTAGAATTTGGAAAATTTAAACATTCGATACTCAATTCAACCATTTAAAATTCTGATTCTCAATTGAATTACTATTTAAATCTCAATGAAAATGAACAACTAATATCATATGTACTTCCATGTAATCAGTGCTCGTAGGCATGGCAACTTCATTCATTCCGGTGTCGATAATTCATTACATTTCCATTATAATATTCACCTTGGTTGGAATCACCATGATTTATGAAGGTATGAACTCCAAATCAAACTCAGAATGTGAATATAAATCTGAAGAAAAAAAGAGGAAAAAAGTTCTGATACTAACATTTGATTCCATTGGTGAAAAAAAAAACTAATGAACAATCAGATCGATCTGATATTCAGATCAAGAAAATATCATTTTTCAATCACATGGTAACATTAACCTTCATTGTTATCATGAACATCATCATCTTCAAGATCATTTGTTTTATTCATCATCATCATTCATCCTTTGTTTACTTACTTGCAATACTCTAGTAAATTTATCATTTGAATCTCATGAATCATGAGCTTACATCCGATAGATAAATGAATATCTAACTTGAAACTTGTTCAGATTATCATGGTTATCATGTTTTTAACCTTTAACATGTCAACTTGGTTTCTATCTCAATCAATTGCAATTTGAATCGTCACTGAACTTTTTTTATCCATTTCTCAATTCAACTGATATTCAACTTGTAATGATGAATTTCAATCATGATAATTGAAATTAGCTTCTCAAGTGTAAGATTTTCAATCATCTTCAAGTCAGAACTTTTTTTTGCTTGATTTATACACTTAATCGTTATCGTAATCATCATTACCAGCATTCTGATGTTGATGATGATCAACAAATTTCATAATTTTGTCATCATTTTCTTCATGTTTCTTTGCCTTTTCTTGTTCAATTATTTTTCATGATGAAAAATCAAATGAATTCCAGGAATAACATCAAAAGACAATCTCAATGTTAAAAACAATGATAATCGTAATGACGATAAAATTAAGGATCAAGATGATAAAGGAGGACAAGATTTGATTGGAACCAGAACTGGAAATGAAATTATAATGAATCCTCATGATAAAATTCAGACAACTGAAAGTAATAACCTGAGATTCTGGTTCAAGGATCTCAATGAAAGACATAAATCTTTCATTGCAATTGAAATGTTCACAATGGTTTTCATTGCTGAATGGGCTGATAAATCACAATTATCAATAATCATCTTAACAACCCGAGAGGTAATTACATATTTAATCAACAACAATTAACTTTAATCATGAGCAAATTGGCAGATCAGATCAAAACAAGAGTAACAATTGATTTGTTTCAATTGACAAACACAACAAAACTGGAGCAACTTTTTCGTCAATCAATTCTGTCAGAATTTGATTCTCAACTTAATTGATAATTTCCTCTGATAATATCATCAACTAATTGTTGACAATTAATTGTTTCTTCAGAATAAATTTGCAGTTGCAGTTGGGGCTATTGCAGCTCAAACACTTTCAATGGTAGTTGCGGTCATCGGAGGGTCAGTCATGTCTCAATACATTTTACCCAAAACAGGTAAGATAATGATAATCATTTTAATCATGGTAACAACTAATAATTTATTAATTATAATCTTGATGATAATTTATGATTATCAGTTTTAGTTGTCGCTGGATTAACCTTCATAGGCTTTGCTATTCACACTGCAGTGGTTGGGCCAATTAGCTTTCAATAATTATTATTATGATGATCAAGATGAAGATAAAATAAGAGAGAGAGAGAGAGTGGAAGATAAGAAGATGATAAACCATCTTTGTAGCTCTCTCTCTGTTTCTCTGGCTCTTCTCATCATCAATCAACCTTGACCCTTTGCCAGGAGATGGACATTCAAGTTATTACCTTGTAGATTTGACCTTTACTAGATGGCGACACAATTGTTACCAGAATTAAACAAAAGTTGATTAACTTGAAATTTAGTAAATTGTTAAAACTTTGTGGTTGTTCATGTGTTGATCATGATAATTATATCAGTAGATTATCAAAGATACACAATCTTTAATGGTCATTAATCATTAAAGTCAAGGCACTTTAATCAATGGCCAAGAAGTAAAAAAAGTTGACCAGTGAAGAGCAAAAAAATGGTTCATCTACTTGTCAGTTGTTAATCATTATTATAAGAAGTGATTTAAATTGTTGATAAAACAATCAACTGATTCTCGGGTTAACTGTTTCACTTATTGATAAACTTTTACTTTATATCCACTGATTGTTGATTGTTTTCAATTCAATCAACCCTCACAATCTAAATGAAAAATAAATCAATCTGATTGTTGGTAAGTTTAAATTTTAAACGATTCAGTTTGATTGTTGAAATGAATGTCATTTAATTTAATGATAACAATCAAAAAGGTTTTCATTCTGGTTGTTCAAATTGTAATTGATTGAAGAAAACAAAAACAATTTAAAAAACTGTCATTGTGATTTAAATTGTGATCTTAAATTACAGGTTAATAACTAAATCGTTAAGTTGAGTTGGTCCCATGAAACTTGGTAATGGTCATGATATAATTCAGTCTCTTCATGGGATGAACTTTTTCAAGATTCCAATGACTCTTAATGACCATGATAATGACCAGAACTTATTTCAAGACAATGTTTCCTTTTTATTATTACTATTATTCTGATGATACCTTTACATTATCATCTTATGTCTTCCTTTGAATGATGATCTTGTGAACTCGAAAACTCTAACATCAGACCATTAGAACTTTTCACTTTTACGATTTTACTGATTCGAACTTTTTTCTCTCTCTCTCTTAAGATACAAAATATCGAGTTCTCATCTTATGGTTATCATTATTATCTGTTGAGAATAAACTTTTGCTTCTGTTTTTATCTTTTCCATGATAAAAGTTTTTATGTCAATCCATTTGTCTTTTATTGATTAACTATACAATCAACTTTTTATCGTTTCTTAATTACTTTCAACTAATTGACTTAAATTGCGATTATAACAGTTGATTGTAAAGTCTAAAAGTTTTAACTGTTCCCAATAACTTGTCATAAACATTTTTCATCTCTTTTCTAATCATCTGATTTATAGCTCATTATCATTGCACTCAATTAGTTTCTACAAAATTCTAAGCTAATTGTGATTAGTAAAACTCATTTAGATCAACAAAGTTTTAATCAATTTTCACTTTCATCTCAATGTTGTTTTACTATCCAACTAACGCCATCTATGAGTTGAACAATCAACTAATTTGAAAAAGTTTCTTTCGAATTTTTTTTTTCAAATTTGTAACTTTTAGGAATTTGAAACTCAGAAAGGAAATTGTTTACATGGTAATTTGATTAACCTAGGATTCATTTCCATAATTATCAACAGTAATCACGATGAATTAAAATACAATTTGTTACAAGGATTTTTTTATTGATTTAGAAAAGAAAAAAAAACAAATTCTTTTTTTTTCCTTCCTCATGGAGATGAATTCATTAGGATGAGATAGTCAGAGAATTATGAACAAAATGAATGCTTAGAATTTTTTCTTAATCTTAGAACAGTTAGAAAAAAAAATTCACCCAAAATTTCATGATAAAATTCAGGGAAATTCATTAATCTGTTCAATCTTAGCTTGAAACATATGAGAGAGTTTCCATCATCATGATTCATTATCAGAATTGAGAGATGAAAAAAAAGTTAATCCAATCAAGTTGAATGAAAGAAAAAAGTTCCGAGTGTTAATTCAGTGGGCAGGATTCATGTTGGTGTTTAATTAAAAAAGCACCTTGATTGATGTTCCCATGTAGTTCAGGGTAATATATTAATTACTAGTTGATTAAATAAAATGAATGGATAAGCAACATGGTTAAAATCATGGTTATCATGCTGAGCTGAATTAACAGTTATTCAGAACCACCCGAATACCCAGAATCGTTTTTTTTTCATTCTGATGAGAAAAAATTTCCTCATCATGATAATTAGGATTGAATCAATTTGTTTGAATATAATTATCTACCTTGATTGTTATTAATTATATTTACCTCTCTCTCTCTCTCTTTACTGATCATCGTTAATTAGATTCATAATAGAGCCGATGAATGTTCATCAGCATTGAGAATTTCCATCATCAGAATAACTCAGATTTTCGCCAAGAATTTTAATTTAATTTTTTCTTCTTTCTCTTTAGTTTTTTCCTCATGAAGTTCTGAATTTCCCTGATGATCATCATTCTTGAGATGAAAAGATTTTGGCTTATTCCTGGTATCCTCATGATTTTGGAACTTTTTGGCTCAGCTTCATGATAATGATCATGTTTCGTTAATCGATTGAAAATAAATAAACGATCAGAGTTATTCGAGTGTGATTGATAAGATGAACAAGTTCAGTTCAATTTCGTATCTCTCACAATTCTCAATTTACATCATGATTCTTTCACTGTCTATTTGAACTTTCAACTGAGAAGGCAAATCAACATATTCACATGTTAGTTGTGAATATTCATGGTGATGAATCTAATCTGAGAATCTGAACAATCTTATCTTGTTTCAAGTTCTCACCTTTACCATGACACTTATTCCTTAGTCTTAGAATCCTTTTCAAATATATATAATATATCAGAACTGAATAATCTACTGGAATTGTTTATCACCCACTCATGGAATTAAGTAGTATTCAGAATCACTTTCACTTTGTGATCAGAACTTTTTCAAAATTCATCTAACATCCAATTGCAATTAATTCTGGCGAAAACTATTATCGATCCCATTAACTGTTCATCTCTTGATAAAAGTTGCAAATTATCTTGAAATCATCAGCAGAAATCACTACAATTCAATTCGCATATTCAGGTCATGATGAAATTCCAGGGAAAGTTCAATAACCCTCATGAGAATCTGAAATGGTCTCATTTTCAAGGTTGAATTAACATTGAACAATATTTGTTTCAACAATTTAACATTAACAATCAGACAGACACAGAATTGTATTTGATTGTCAAGGTTCATGATAAGTAAATTATATTCAGGGAAATAGGAGCAGAGAAAATGAATGAAATTCTGACAATTTATCAGAGGAAGAAAACGGAAATTGAGGAAATGCAAACAAAAGCTTGAAGGAGGGCAAAAATTTTCCATCTCAATGAATTTGCCATGTAAAAAATAAAGTCAAATATCATTACCATGAACTATGAATAAACAACAATCGGTTGATTGATTGATTCAGTTTCATTTCAAATTGTGTACGATATCATGGAAATCATTACAATCTGTATGATAGTTGAAAAGTAATAACTCAGAACTTTTGGTTTCTCCCCTTCGGTCAGAAAAGTTTATTCAGTTTCCATGATAAATTTTACACCATGAGAACAACAAAATAACATCAACTCCATCATATTAATCACCATGAAAAATGATTAATATTCCGAGACAAAGAAATGAAGTTATCATGATTATTAATGATTCTGCTTTTACCTGAAACTTTTCATTCAGTTGAACTGACAAAAGTCTCAATTTGATTTCATCATTTTCATGATAAATATCAGATTAATTATCAAATCCTTTTGAATTACATTCAGTGTTTTATATTTGCTACTGAATTTAATCTTGATTTTATCATCAAGACGATAAACAATTTAATCTGATTGCTTTGTAAGATCAATATTTGATCAGTGAATAAGATAAATAGAATATAAAAAAGTTCTAATAGCTCAAATTCAATGCTAATCAGATTCATGAGAGGACAGATTATCCTTTTTATCCCTTGTAAATAATCAACTCACCTAATCAATAATTAATTAGTATTCCATGAGAAAAGTTCATTATCTTTATTAAGTTTCATGTTCTAATTGGAAACAATTATATTGAATTCCGTTTAATATCAAAGTTTCATGATGAATTCAAGTGAATTCATGAAGAAATGTATAACTGATCCCATAGAATTGATCAGATAATCATTTATGCAAAATCAAATCTGAATCATCTACTACATGAACTTTCAAGTTAGAAACATGATTGAATTTCCAGGAAAATTGGTCAAGGAAGAGAAAATTTCTCATGGAAATTTTTCCAAAATGAATTTTCTTTCTATTCAGTCTTTTCTCTACCTTTTTACCTCCATGATTATCATCATCATGCTTGAGATGCGACTTAGTAATAGGTAAGAATCCCCATGGTTCATGAAACTCTGAAAATTTCATGAGCTTTTATTTTTTTGATATAATCATAAGCAACATAATAATGGATATAATATCTTGTCTCATTTAAATAACACATGAGATTTCAGGTAACTTTGAAAAAAATTCCTATCTCTCCCCTGGAATCTTGATCAACATCCAATCAACATTGAGAATGAAAATTTTGCTCTATTACTTTGATCTGATATTCTCGGTTATCTTCATGATAATCACATGGGAAGATTAGAGATTGAAAATATGAGAGCAGCTGAATTTTCTGCTTCTGAGTGAATTTCATATATTTTTCATAAGATAACTTCCAATACTCATTAAAGAGAGATTAAAGTTTCTGTTGGAGAATTTTAAATCTCATGAAAGTTCATTTATATCGATAAACAAATGGAATGGAATCACTGAGATGAGAACAAAAAACCTGAAACTTTCGAACTGGAATCGAAACTGTGTCTTCATGGGTCTTCATCATTTCGTTGGAATAATTGACTCACTTCGTCTCGAATTTTCATCGACATGATGAATGAACATTTTCCATGGTCAACCAACAGAATGAAGAAAAAGAGTAGGAAAAAAGTTCTAAGAAAAGCTACAAAATAGAATTTTTCATTAGAAGAAGCAAAATTGTTCGAACTTTTATTCTTTTTTACTTATATCACATATTCGATGTGAATGAAAGATGAATGATGAACACTTCAGTTCTCTTTATATGAGAGACTTGTGGGTAAGTTGGAAAAAAAGAAAAGTTCATATTCGAATGAAGTT